AAATATTTTGTTAAAAATTCAACACTAGAGGCCCATGTGAATTTCTTCCTCTGAGCAGGGGCCTGGAGGTGTCTCAGAATGGAGAATATGCTTATTCTGTTGACCCTTGCCCCAGAGTCCTCCTGAGGGAAATTGTGCCTGCCTCGTCACAGCAGGTGCACCATTTGCCACCTAGACTGCCATGGAGAAGGAGGAAATGGAAGAAAAAGAAACCTCAAATACCACATTTCAAAGCCCTGCTAAGTTATTTTGTGTCTTTGCAATTGGACGTAAAATGACACCATGGTATCATTTCCATTTTTCTTGGCTTTGTGGTCCTGAATGCAATATTAGCTGACACACTGCCTCCCTGGGGATTCAGATGGCTAGAAAATTGTCTCCCACTGAAAAGAGCTGGAAAGAAAAAAAAAAGGGGGATTTCCTTGTTTCTCTGCTCATTTAGTAATTTATTGCCTTCAAAACTCTCCCATAGCGATTCAAATGGGCAAAATCAATGGGCCCTTTTTCCTTCCTGGTTCTTCTATTTCCTTTAGGGCAGTTTTGGGTTTTTTCTGTTTTTTGGTTTTTTTTAAGTGGCATGAATGCTCTTCTTAAGGTGATGAATACATCTGCTAAGAAGTTAGGAAATGCAAAAGTCACAGTTTTCCTATTCAAAATAAATATTAATTGGTGCCGGCCCTGTGGCATAGTGGTTAAGTTTGCACGCTCCGCTTCAGCGGCCCAGGGTTCATGGGTTCGGATCCTGGGCGCGGACCAACGCACTGCTTGTTAAGCCATGCTGTGGCAGCATCCCATATAAAGTAGAGGAAGATGGGCACAGATGTTAGCCCAGGGCCAATCTTCCTCAGCAAAAAAGGAGGATTGGCATGGATGTTAGCTCAGGGCTGATCTTCCTCACACACAAAAAAAGTAAAATAAATAAATATTAATTGAATTCCATGGTTTAGAGCTGGGCTGCAACAAAATGGTAGAGTTGGTGACATTTGTCTTTAAGATTCCTGGCCTTCTTTTTTGGATTTCTTTTTTCTTCTTTCATAAAAGAATGCATACACATTAACTGCCTATTGTGTACCATACCTTGTCCCAATTCTGAACTAGACTTGATCTTATGTTCTCAATGCTGAACCATACCTGGTTTGATTTAATCAACTCCCCTGTGGTCGGTGGTACTGTCTCATTTTGCTAATAAGAGAACTGGTGCTCAGAAAGCTAAGGGTCTTGCCCAAGATAATGTGATCTTCTCTATACACTTATATTTTATCTCAATTTGCTCAAAGTGATTGACTGAAGGCTTGGCTCCCGTATTAGTTTCCTAGGGCTGTTATAACAAACTACCACAAACTTGGTGGCTTAAAACAACAGAAATTTATTCTCTAGAGGCTGGAAGTCCAAAATCAAGGTGTCAGCAGGGCCGCGCTCTCTCTGACGGTTCTAGGGGTAGACCCTTCCCTGTCTCTTTCCAACTTCTGGTTGTTGCGAGCAATCCTTGGCATCTCTTAGCTTGTAGATGCCTCACTCCAACCTCTGTCGTCACGTGGCCTTCTCTCTGTGTGTCTCTGAGTCTCTGTTTTCTCTCCTTCTAAGGACTCCAGTCATGAGATTAGGGCTACCCTAATCTAGTATGACCTCAGCTTAACTAATTGCATCTGCAAAAAACCTACTTCCAAATAAGGTCACATTCTGTGGTTCCAGGTAGACTGAATTTGGGGGGGGACACTATTCATCCTAGTACAGCTTCTGTTAAAGAATCTTCTGGCATCTGTGAACAATTGGGAAGTTTCTTTAGTTACAGAGAGGTCTTCTTACTTTCATATCAAGTTTCCTTAAGGAGATTATTAACTGATTCATTCATTCACTCAACAAGTATTTATTGAGTATTTATCTACTATGTGCCTGGCGCTTTTGTAAGCACTGGAGATACAGCTGTGGAAAGACGAAGTCCACACTTGGTGGTACTTGTGTCCGACAGGGAGAACACTTATGCCAGTGTGGTAGGAGAGTGTGGCAGCATCCCAAGAGAGCACAGGGTGCGAACTGCAGGTCTTCATCTGGAGCTCCAGAATTTGCTCATCTTCTCCCTTCAACCACGTTCCACTAGTCAGAGCAAGTCACAGCCAGCTAGAGTCAAGGGCTGGAGAAATACTACTTCTTGATGGGAAGAGTGACAATGTAGGATTGCAAAGGCGAAGGCACATCAGGAGGGCACTAACCACTCCTTCGAGATTTTCACCAGTCGTTTTTGAGGCTAAAGTAGCGAGAGACTCTCCTTACTGTTCACACATGGAATTCTCAAAGCATCAGCACTCTGTCTTGGTTTGCTTCCTTCCCTTGAATGTGGGAATATCCAGTGGTGATAGCGTCCAGTTCAGAGAATTGCTGGGAAGATTAGAGATCATGTATTTAAATAACCAGTGAAGGTGCCTTACACAGAGTAGCTCCTCCTCCTGTCTGCTGTTGTCTCATACTCTCCGATGGTCACCATCACCATCATCACCATCATCGTCATCTTGGGGACCATGAGAGGAGGCAGACACAGAGCTCTAATGCAGGGTGTAATGACTTGTCCCCGGTGGCCACCAGGATATCCCTCAAGTCCCCAGGAAACTCACCAGTGTTCTTAATTTAGGCCCATCCCAGTTGCCCTGTGCGCATCTTAGGAGGAATGTACAGATTGTGGTTCAGAGTTGGAAATGCAGGGCCAGCTTCCTGGCTCACACCAGGCCCTTGGCTCTGATGGCTTAGCTGTCCAGGTCGTTGCGGGGTTTCACTGATCCCTCTGTATTCTCAAGACTCAAGGCCACCTACGGTCTGGCTTGGAGAGGGCAGTGGCTCTGGGGCTCTGAATCCCTGTGAAGCGAGTGGCCACAAGACTTGAGAAAACCAAGCATGAGGTAGACTGGGGCGTTGTTCTATAAAGGACATTCGGTGTGGTGGGTGTTCAGAGGAGGGAACAATTCTTCCACTTGTGTGACAGGAAGTGTGTTGGGCCTTGAAGGATTGTCGAGTTTGTACCAATAAAAGTGGAGAGGGAAGAATCCCAATAGGAACGGATGGACCCAACCATTCAGATGATTCAAAGAGTGAGGGGCCGGCCCCGTGGCTTAGCGGTTAAGTGCGTGCGCTCTGCTGCTGGCGGCCCAGTTTCGGATCTCGGGTGCGCACCGACTCACTGCTTGTCAGGCCGTGCCGAGGCCCCATCCCATATAAAGTGGAGGAAGATGGGCACAGATCTTAGCCCAGGGCCAGTCTTCCTCAGCAAAAAGAGGAGGATTGGCATGGATGTTAACTCAGGGCTGATCTTCCTCAGAAAAAAAAAAAAAAAGAGTGAATCATTGGTTTCTCTGGAGCTCCCTTCAGTTCTTCAGCGGGGAGGAGTGGGGATGAGGCTAGAGAAGTAGGTTGGTGCTGGACTATGGAAGGACTTCAAAAGATGAGTGTATGGATGGGGACTCCGTTCTCAGGGCAGGGAGGCAACCAGGCCACCATATCATCTGTAGCCCCAAAGTGGCTATTCCATAGCCCTGGCGCCCCAGTTTCTCTATAACTTTAACTGTAATTAATATTAATTTCTTTTATATTTAAAAGAAGAGCCACATTGCACATTCAGGAGGGTAGATAGAGGTATGGCATTAGACCCACAATATGGTGTCGCCACTCTATAAAAATCTCTGAGACCCTGGGTGTTGCAGACCAAGATGACGGCACACCAGGGCAGTGTGGTCTTGTGCTTCCTATTTTAGGTTTGACTGTGAGGACTGGTTCAGAATGGCAGTAAATGGCCTTTGGGGAGAAACTTTTGCTTCCAGAATTTAGAAGAGCACACACATCTTCCCTTTAGCCCCTGTTGAGGCTGCCAGCTCTCTGGCCTCGTCCACCCCCGAGACTGTGAGCCCTTTAGGGAAACATTATACCCTGCAATGGTGCTGAGCAGAATGCCTTGTACATTGTGAGGTCTGGACACATGTTTGAATGAATGGATCAGTGGATGAATGTGGCAGAGAGGAAAAGCTCAAAGGTTGCAAATGATATAATCCAGGCTCAAACTGCCTTACGCACCAAAGCAAATACATTAACTAATGTAACAAAAGCCCAGGAATTGGGGGTCTGGTTTCAACAACATATGGACCCAGCTATTCAGATGATGTCACTGGGAAGACGTCCCTCTGTCTTTCTGCTCATCTTTCTTCTGTACCCTTCACTCCCAGTCTAGCTCTCCCTGCATGGTGGCCCTCCTCCCTGTCCCCAAGCTCCAGGCTGCCATTCTCACAGCTCAGCAGCTTGAGAGGAAAGGGAACTGAGAATGGAGAATGGGTTTCCAGGGGAAAATCGAGGCACTGGTACCGAAGAAGGAAAAAGCAATAGATGTTCACAGTGATAGGCTTATAGAAAAATTGGATCCCTTTGCTTTAAAATAGATCAACCAATGCCCACCCTCCATGCTTCTTCCTACTTCATTCACGAAAATGAGAGTACTCAACATCAGGGTAGAGTGGGTGGTGGGCAGCTTTGGTTGCCAGGCAGACCTGAGTTTGAATCCTGACTCTCTTACTCCCTGTGTGATCTCAAGCTAGTAACTTAACTTTTCTGAGCCTCAGTTCTCTCTTTCTTCCCAGCTAGGCTGTAAACTCCATAAGGGCGGTTACCTCCTTGTCCTTTTCTATGACTGCATCCCCAGTGCCTGGCAGCACAGCGGCGGGTACTTGATACTGTTAAATAAATCAACAACGGTTCAAGTTTGTTGCATGGAGAAAAGAAAAACTGTATATATGAAGCTCTAGTAAAATGCCAGGCATGTAGCAGGTGACGGATAAGTGGTGGAGCTGATCCTTTTATGACTCTACAAAGGAATTATGGTGGAACAGAGAACAAAGAGAGTTGAGACAATTGATGGAGAATTGAGGTTGTCAGTTGGCTACATTAGGATCATGGCTGTGGGTGTGGCCAAGTAGAAATCTCCCACCTAGGACTGAGTTCTTGTTCCTCTTGTGTCCACTCTGCAGCTGGAGCTCTCGAATGCCGCCGTCCTGCACCAGATGAGGCGGGACCAGGTCACAGACACGTGCCGCGCTAACAGCGCCGTGAGCCGCAAGAGGCGCGTGTTGACCCCCAACGACCTGAAGCACCTGGTGGTGGACGAGGACCACGAGCTCATCTATTGCTACGTGCCCAAGGTGGCGTGCACCAACTGGAAGCGGCTCATGATGGTCCTGACGGGGCGGGGCAAGTACAGCGACCCCATGGAGATCCCGGCCAACGAGGCGCACGTCTCGGCCAACCTGAAGACCCTGAACCAGTACAGCATCCCAGAGATCAACCACCGCTTGAAAAGCTACATGAAGTTCCTGTTCGTCCGGGAGCCCTTCGAGAGGCTGGTGTCCGCCTACCGCAACAAGTTCACGCAGAAGTACAACACCTCCTTCCACAAGCGCTATGGCACCAAGATCATCAAGCGCCAGCGGAAGAACGCCACCCAGGAGGCTCTGCGCAAAGGCGACGACGTCAAGTTCGAGGAGTTTGTGGCCTATCTCATCGACCCGCACACCCAGCGCGAGGAGCCCTTCAACGAGCACTGGCAAACCGTCTACTCCCTCTGCCACCCGTGCCACATCCATTACGACCTCGTGGGCAAGTACGAGACGCTGGAGGAGGACTCTAATTACGTCCTGCAGCTGGCAGGCGTGGGCAGCTACCTGAAGTTCCCCACCTATGCCAAGTCTACGAGAACTACTGATGAAATGACCACAGAGTTCTTCCAGAACATCAGCTCAGAGCACCAAACGCAGCTGTACGAAGTCTACAAACTCGATTTTTTAATGTTCAATTACTCAGTGCCAAGCTACCTGAAATTGGAATAAAGGGGGTGGGGAGGGGGAGAGAATCATGCTTTTTAATTTAAGATTTTTATTTGTCAAAAGAATTATATGGATATTGGGTTATTTTGTAAATTAATATTTCTTTGGGGATGATGCTGCGAGCAGCATAGTGAGAATTATTTAAAATCCTTAGTAGGGAAGGACGGCTGTCTTTGCAGGGGAATAGGATGGGTGTCCTTGTTTTTAGATATGAATACTGCAACACTGTCTCAAAGGTTTCCTTGTCTTCTGGTGAATTCCATGAATTGTGCATCCCATAAATTCTAATTAATGTTATTTATAGTTATTTAAACATGGTCTCTGTATAGATTTCTTTTTGTGGCAGCAAGATTCTTGTGTCTTTGCAGAAGAAATCTATGTTTTGTTCTGTGCTTGCTACAGCTCATTGTGAGGCATGAATGTTCTCTTTACTAACGGCTCATAGAGTCACTGCGTGATAACCACCACATGATGGCTGTTGATGCCACCATGCTTGAAATGCTCTAGAAATAAATAGAAAGAGGCACCTTGGCAAGGGGCTAATTCCAAACCAATTTCAATCAACTCAAAAGTCCCTTGCACTAAAGAAATGTGATTTTCTTTTTAAACCCAAGGAGAGAGCTGATGGTAGCGTTTTTTTTTTTTTCCCCACAAGAATTAGTAGTCTGATAGAATAGGCTTTTCTACAGAAATTTCTAACTGGCAGTGCCAGTTGTCATGAAGGTGAAGTGGCTGTTGCTTTATATCCAACACTATTTATTGAGCAACTACTATGTGCTAGGCCTAATTTTAGGCCCTGCAAATAGAGCATTGAACAAAACCAATAGTCTCGACCCTCAAGAAGCTTTACATGGACACACAGTATCCAGCTCAACAATTAGCAAACCCCTGATATTCATGGACTTAGCATAAGGTTTGGACTGTTCGTGAACGACCCCAGAAGGTCCATGACTCCTACAAATTTGCATGTTTCTGTAGCCCAAATTTGTAAACCACATGCTTGGAGCAGGCCACTTACCTTGGTCAGTAATCCAAGCTCATTGCCCAACACGAGAGATGACAAAAATGTTTCCTATCACGTGCCCACTCCAATTTATTGATCATGTCTGCCTTTAAGACCCAGAACAGATTTGCCAGGCACTGCGTGAAGAGTGCTGTGATTGATTAGTGTGTCTGCCTTGAGTGAGGGAAGGGGAACATGGGCCACGTTTTCCCAGTGCCTCCTCCTGTCATCTCCAGCCCTGCATCCACGTCTCTGTGTAGACGTGTTGTTTTTACTCCTTGCCATGTAAAAGAGTGAAATGCTGTGGCAGGACTCCTCCATCTGGGGATTTGGCGTTTCTGCCCCTCATGAAGGTCAGAGGTGGACTGTATACACGTGTGCACGTGCATACCCCTCCCGAGTCCTCCAGAGGCTAAGAGACCATCAGCATCTTTGCAGCCACCACGCGTGAGCAGCAAGGACAGCCTCCCGTGATCATAATCCACGCCCCTCTCCTCCGGAAGGCTAGAAACGTTCCATTTTCTGTTGCTTGCAAATTACCATCTGCACACGCTTCTCATGTCCAGCCGTTTCCGATGCCTCGGTTGAAGTTTGAGCCACATCCCTCTTACAGCTAGTGAGTGAATTGGTAGGAGATACTGTATATAATAATAATAATAGTTCTAATAATAGGGGTGGGGTGGGATGGGATGTGGTTAAGCTCTTTCTTGTTTTGTTTTTGATGCAGTATATAGCAAAGGGGTGAGAAGAATATTCTAAGCAACAAAAAAATGAATAATTTATTCACAGAAACTATTAAAATTGTGTCGTAAAACTCCCAGCCAGCTCGGCAAGCAGCAGCTGCCACCCCTCACTGAGGAAATGATTTTATTGAATGTGGGTGAGGTGTGCGCTGGAGAGGGTGGCCGAAGCTGTTTATAAAGCGTTGTGTCCCTTCTTCCAAGCTCTCTCCCCTTTGTGAAGGGCATGACAACTCTACCCTTGATGGATAGAGATTTATGCAACGTGTTTTACCGAGTAGAATGGCAGACCTTGGCTGTCCCCGGAATTGGGAGTCTGGACCCTATTTCCGGGCAGGGGCCACTGTCCTCAGAAATGGGTCTTCTGCTAATGAAACAGGTTGTCCAGCATTCCCCGATATGTGCTCCACAGAACACAGTTTCTAGGGGACCCCAAGTCGGTGTGATGCAAAATAAGGGTTTTGTGGTCAGATATCCTTGGCAAACAAAGTTAAATCAGTTTCCTTTCTGCAGGACTTTTCAGAGCCTTGAATGCATGCTGTGCATTGTGAATCCCCAAGAGCATCATTGAGTCAATAGCATTTCGCAAACTACATGAGCAGGATACTCTATTTTGCACATCATCTCATAGAGCTAGAGTTCAGCAGTCTACTCAGGTTAGGTTGATTTGGCACATCTGAGGTCTTCAAGAATAAAAACTGCCGCCCCAACCCCCCTCCAAAAAACAAAACAATAAAACAGCACCACAGTCTCCATCTGGTTTATAGCAACAGAGGTACTTTATCCAATAAATTGAACTTTTGCTTAAGTGCCGTGAGTCTAATCCTGGATACTAGCACGGGCAGCAGTTCCATCCCTCCCAAAGGGAGTGGAGGAAAGTCTCGGGTGGTGTGGACAGAAAGAAGGGGGGAAGGGAGGGCACAAGGCCACAGAGTGGTCCCCCCAATTGCTCCATGTGAGCAGAGTGAGCTCAGCCCTTGACGAGTGCTTCTCCGGTTCCATAGTCTGGAATTGTTCACTCTGTGCTTTTTTGGTTTTAAATGGAAATTCACATAGATGTCCCGAGTTCTGCGTTTCCATGTCCATCTTTGATCATTTGTGCGAGCGAGCTCGGTGCCGTGTGCAGATCGCCTTCCCTCTGCCGTCTTCTCTCTCAAGTGAGAAGGATTGTCCTTCGGGGGACAACATGTCACTCCGGTTCTGCAATGAGGGACTCTTTCTGTTCGTGTTTTGGTTTGTGTTCACATTTTATTTTCTAATGGCATAAAAACTTTTTTAAGAATAATTGATTCAACTGTTTTGCAGAATGTAGAAAGTATTGTGTGTCCTTGGTTTAAAAGAATTCATGGGTGAGAATGTGCCTGGAAAACAAAGGTTTGTTAAAGAAAACTGAAAATGCTTTCATTGCGTGCTTAGCTGGAGAAAAGCAAAGGCAGGTGTCCCATCTCCCAGCCGCTTTTCAAAGGTGCTGCTGTGTTTTCAAAACCAGGTACAGTCAGGGTAGTATTTACAAGGACATTCCTGCTTAACCTTTCCCATTGGTTAGAAAACTAGAATTTTAGCCACAGGATTTGAATTCTTGCAGCTTCTCCAGAACCCCCTCTCTGCCCTCCCAGCTGGTCTGGGAAGAAGGGCAGTGTGCTGACCTACGGTGTCTCAGAGGGGACCTTCCTTCCTACCTGTCCACCAGGTGAGCTGCACCCTCTTGCGTGTACAGGATCTGGATGCTACAGGAGGGCAGTGGGCAGTGGAAACTTCAGTTGGACCAGTCCTCCTGGTGGCAAAGGTGTGGAAGCATGGGGGTCTAATCCCTACAGGTAGAAAGTTCCCAGAACAAAAGCAAGTCCCTAGCACACTTAGCTGGTGGGCTCTCGACCAGTGCTAAGGTAGTGATTGCAAAAGTCCCTGTTGTAACTTGGCAAGAAGCCAGGTTCGCACACTCTGTTCAGCTGTGGGTGGTGCTCAGAGCATCTTTCAGCCGCATCCTGCCCTGCACACACAATCTAATCTGCCCCACTCTGTGCAGTCCTGGTGACCAGAAGCCCTTCCTTGCCCACCCTTATGTCAGCAGGACTGACCTCATCACTCCCCTGAGCTCCCACAACCAGCATTTCCTCCTGCCTTTTCCCATCACAAGCAACTGCACCCCATGAACAGGCAACAGACCTTCTACAAACAGCTTGACTCTTTGCCATTAACAGGAGAATTTCATTCTTTGTCAGGTACAGAAGGGGCTGCCCGTACTATTTTCTTATGAGCATGCTCAGTATGGCCTATGGACATAAATTATAATTTAACATCTTGGTGGAGTGTGATTTTTTTTAACATATTTGTATGCAGTAGAGGGCTTGTCGAAAACTCTCCCTGTATCTTACTGTACTGTTCAAGAAAGCTGAATTCCACATTGCCAACAAAAGCGTGAAATGTTCATGAAACTTCCTCCAGGAAAAGCCATTCAAGCCTGATTATTTTTCTAAGTAACTTCAATTAAATTGAAGAAAAAAAGGAAGCTTCTCTCTGTGTATGGTTTGTTCATGGCTCATTGACAAAAGACTGTAGGGGTGGGGTGGGCTGTATTTCTTAGCATGTGGGGGGCCCTGATCGTGTGTATCAAAAGATGGAGAGGGAAAGACGGAGATGCGGACCCCGTTGGCAGTCTTGGCCATGGTAAAGACCACCATAGATCTGAACCCTTTGTGTTTTGTGGATGAATGAAAGCTTTCTTCATTCCTGTTTGGTCTGTAAACTCTGTAGAGTGGTGCGTTAAAGGCCCGCCATAATCATGTAGGCCTACCACCCGTGTGAAAAATCAGGAAACAGAGGCTCTGAAAGGTTAAATGCCTTTGGCAACAGAGCCGGTATTCAAACCCCAGTTGATATGCATTCAGAACCCCATGCTTTTGGCGCTAAACAACACGTCTCTCTCAACATCTGTTCACGGTCCGGAAGTTGCAGGTTTGACCTTCAAGCCCCAGTTGTCCAATTCCAAATCCATTCCTTGCCTGATGCGCCATATAGCTTCGTTCAGCTCCATTGATGGACGTTTTTTAGCTTTATTGATTAACATGATTGATTTATTTATATTTTGCCAAAGAAGAAATCATATTCAAAGTTGTTTATTGTATTCTAATTTCTTTAAATGTATTATCTAAACATTTTAACATGAGACTATTGGATTAAAAGTATTTTTCCACCATGCCAGATATGGTTTATAATATGTCCACTCACCAGCTGGTTCCCACCACCACTGGCCCAGCTCCCACCCATTCCTGGTGTCTTCGCTGTTATGGCTTTGGTCCCATCTGGTTGGGAAACGTCCAGACCGTGGAGCTTAGTTGTCTTAATTTAATGGAAAATGCACTTCCTTTTTAATGTGGTGAGTGGATATCAATTTGTCACATCGTCTCGTTTGGACACTGTAAATGTCTGTGGGAAGCCATCCTGGATGAGGACATCCCCAGTCCTAGTTCACTCCCCTTGGAGTAAGACTGAATTGCCCTCTTGTCAGTGGCCAGCTAATCAGTCAATATTTCTGAAGGTGCCACAGGTGCCCTTTGTCTGATGCTGCAGAAGCTACAGAAACCAAGGAGCCTGCAGCCTGGAACATTGCCAGGGCCAGGCCAGAGTAAGGTTATCATTGATCCACCACCAAGTGAACAAAATAGCACCAAGCAGGATCATTAGTATATGATGCCAAATTGTCCTTTCTTGGGAGGAGCTCTCCTTTCTCAAGTTATGTCTTTCCTACATTTTGGGTATTTGAGTAATTTTTATGATAGTAGATGTTGATAT